TATAATCTGTCATTTTAATTTATGAAAGATTAATGTGGCGATGCTCTCCTCCCCCGCACTCATCAGGAGTTTCAACTAATGGTTGAAAAATTGTCATTCTCACTTTTACCACTTCAAAATCTCTGTTTTGACCTTTACAGGCATTTATGGATAATATTTGAGTCTTTAACTGGGGGTTAAGAAAGGTCAGATGCTGGTTTTGGTCACTCCATGTACTGTCTGAACTTCAAAAAGTCTAAAAAATTCAGCAAACAAAAAAGAAAAGTTAGATTTAGTTCATGTTGTCAGGCTCTGATTCAACTTTCTCAGGAAATAATTTTGTCTGTTTTCAATCATTGATACCATGAGCTGAGCTTAGAGGAGGAGGTCTTGATGGCTGAGACTGACTGCTGCCTCACTGGACGTCTTGAGTGCTGCAAAGTGAAAATGTTCCAGCACTAAAATGAATTATTCCTCATAAACACAGCCCATGACTTTTCCTCACTCTGTGAAAGTTTGGCTGAGACAGAATCAAAATAAAAAATGCACGTCAGGAAAAATTCCCAGTAGGCTGAAAATCAATTTTTCATATATATGTTTATACATTTTTATGAGTCATATTTAATCGAAAATGTTCAAAGAGGATTCTCATCAGCAAAGTTAATGACTACCACTTATTTGCCATATGTATGTAAAATAAGCAACATATATCAATAATGATAAGTTACTATCACTATTCTCCTCAGGTTTCTTTAAATTTGCACAAATACCTTTTTTCTCCTCTGGCTCCAGTGCTGTCCAGTTAAGCTATGATATTTCAATTAAGTAAAATATTCATACTGGAGATTTTTGTGGCAGCACCATCACATAAAACTGTATAAATGATGCACAAGACCTCTAGAATATTTCATATTTCCCAAAATTTCAGATATAATAATTTTGGCATCAATCAAGTGGGTCAAGCAGAGTTTAATAGAGTGAAACCAAAAACACAAAACTCCCTTTTCTATTAGATAAAACTGGTTTGTCTTTTTTTTAACAAAATAATGGTTGTTATTACATAATGTTTCTGAAATGTGGAACGTGAAAAACAAGTCAAACTGTGCAACTAGTTAGTTTTTAATGGAGATAAAATGAGGAAGCAACTAATTGTAAACCTTGAAAAAATAAACTTTACCCAACTGTTCTAATATAATGAATTATTCCACTGTTGATCACTGAACTTAAGTCTGAGACTTGAACTGACTAAAACTTAAAAAAAGTCATGGACATTATTCCTTTGTGTTGTTGGTTAAAAAGCTCATTGTGAAGCTGTAGTCAAATGGAAGGGGACAGTACAGCAACTTATTTATAGCCCAAATCACACTGCCGTCCATGCTCTTTCTCCAGGCACAGCGAGAAATGATGCAACCAGATACAAACTGCACTACAAGTGGCTGCTAATGCAGTTCCACTGTAAGGCCACGGGTCAGTTCAGTCCTCGCTCAGATTGAAGTCACTGTCAGTTCACTTTCAGTCTAACTCAAGCAGCAGAGCATTTCATTTCAAAACGTGTCTCTTTTAAAATGTTCATACAGCTTGTAACACAAGAACTAAAAGCAACATCAATAACTGATAATCACAGTTTCAGCTGAATGAATGAATGAGTCACAGTGAGTCATAGCAATGAAACAGCTCACATAAATAAACCCAATGTTATGAATGACTCTATATGACAACAAATGTTTATATTTTTTAGCAAATACAAATCCACTGGGATGAATTTGAGGGGAAGTAAGCATGAGATTGGATTGGCAATGTGTGTGTTACCTCTTGTTTTTCTATCTTTGTAAGGACCTATTGAAATTGTAAGACATTTTTGGAAAGTGAGGATGTTTTTTGAAAGTGAAGACTTTCTTTAGAAAGTGAGAACATGTTTGAAAGTCAGACATTTTCTCTTTAAAGGTGGAAAGACATTTATAGAAGATCAGGACCGAAACAGTTTTTAACATTAAACATTTTTATAAAAGAAAGGACTGTTTTTTTTTGTCTTCTCACTTCAGAGAAAATACTTTGGTTTTAGGTTAAAATTGGGGAATGAATGTCAGTGAGGGTCACAAGTACAATACAAGCATATCTGCTTGTGTGTACGGCAGTGTAGTGATTCAGAGTTCTTGGTAAATGATCATGAACACAATCACAATATAATTATTTAAAAACAACAAGGCATATATATTTTATAGTATGTATTTAGGCTGTAGTGGGGATTTTATATTATGCATAGAACATCTAACAAGCATGTTGGGCTTAAAAGGGTATAAAAGTAAATTGCGCAAATAACACAACCTTATTGTAAAATCAATGTGTCACTCAGCAGGACATGGTTAATACTTTAAGGAAACAAGTGTGTGTAACAAGATCTAATACATTAAACACCAGTCAGCATGTAGTTGACAAGGCAAGTTGACATTTAATTATTCAGTTTTTAATTAAATGACATAAAACTAAATTAAATTAAATGATGATAAATAAATTTGATGTGCCCTAGTGTGCACACAGATATAAACAATGGCATTTAAAGATTGATGCCTATACAAAAAGACTAATCTCTCAGTTCTTCCATTTTAGGATTAAAAGAAAAATTCATCAACAGACCACCAGACAATTTGTCTTTAGTATACAGATGACATAAAACAATAGAATTGAAAGAAAGAATTGTAAAATTTAGGAAACAATTAAAACCGATATTGTCACATGACTAGTTTATTCTAATGTACAATGTACATCTTTTCCATAAATAACCTTCCTTCCATTATTGTATTCAAAATGATTTACATTAAATGAAGGCAAAAATGTGCTCTCAAAATACATTAAATTCATTTTGACAGCACCAAGTGGATACTGGGAGTTGCAGGCAAAGTAAAAGTTTGAAGTAAAGTTTGGTAGTCCTACACTTTTCTCCTCAATGGTTTAAATTCCTGCCTCAACACATGTCAGTCACTTTCATGAGCTGCAGTATTTCAAACTGAGGCTGGGAAACTGTGTCCCTGAAGCCTCCAAAGTTGTTGAAGAGGCAAGCAACCAATGCAGGAAAGATCACTGGCACTTACAGAAGATCTGCACTCTGGTGTCAAAGTCACAGGTTTTGTACACCCATCTGTCGACCTGACCTTCTCTCTGTAACTTTTTCCTGTGTCATTCTTTCTGTTATTTAATGGGTCCAATAAAATGGTAAAAATGGTTTCATTATTTCCTTCATGTGATGAAAAGGCAGTTTGATTTGATAAGTCTTTTTAGTAGTGCAGCATCAGTTCACCCGTTACATGTTGGTGCCCTAGACTTCGGGTGCACATTTCATGGCATTTTTAAAGTAATGTAGGCTGTTTTTAACAAAAGCCCAAAGCAGTAGTTTTGTCCAGAGACGACTGCCCATATCAATCTCCTCCCTATCTGAGGTGGTCCATCATCTGCTACCCACAAATTGTCCCTCAGACAGCATTCCCTCTTGTCTGATTAGGGAAGTCTTTGACACCGTTGGACCATGTATTTTGTCATTGATAAATACCTGTCTCGTTTCTGGTTATGTTCCGTCCGCCTTTAAACACGCTGTTGTGCAGCCCTTTCAATCCTATCTAACAGATTGGAGTTTCTCTGTCCACCTCAGTATTTTCCTCTGAGACAGCCCCATTTACTCGTGGTGTCCCTCAAGGTTCTGTCTTAGGCCCCATCTTATTTTCTTTGTATATGCTGCCCCTGGCCTCCATTTTTGAGAGGTATGAGGTCTCTTTCCACTGTTCTGCCGCTATTTAAATTTAATTGCCCATGAAAGTTAAAAAAAAAAAGGGCTCACTGCAGCCCCTGCTTGACTGTATGAAGGACATCAAAACATGGATGAACCTAAACTTCCTTAACCTAAACTGAGACAAGACAGAGATCATAGGGTTTGGACATCCTGAACTGCTTGATGTAGATTCTTTTGGCCCTTTAACTTCAAATAACCGCTCAACTGTGAGGAGTCTTGGTGTTGTGTTGGATAGTGCGTTTAAATTTGATGAACAAATATCCGCCACTGTTAGATCCTGCTTTTTCCAGTAAAAAACTATAGCCAAGGTAAAGGCCTATCTCCCTCCTAATGATATAGAGAGGGTGATTAATGCCTTCATAACTTCCTGCCTTGACTATTGCAACTCCTTATATGTGGGCTTAGATAAGTCATCGATTCAGCGCCTGCAGTTAGTCCAAAATGCAGGAAAGAAGAAGAGGGACCACATCACACCTGTGTTGCGCTCCCTCCACGGCTTCCTGTTCATTACAGGACTGATTATAAAATCTTGCTTTTAACTTTGAAATGCCTTAATGGATTGGCTCCATTGTACTTAACGGAGCTTCTTCATGTTCATACTCCAGCTAGAGCACTGAGATATGCCAGTCTCCTCCTCCTGGATATACCCAGAAGCAGACTTAAAACATGAGGCGATCGAGCCTTTAGTGTAGCTGCCCCTAACCTGTGGTTACAACAACCTGCCAGTCCATATCAGAACTGCCTCAACTCTCAAATGTTTTAAATCACTGTTAAAAACACATCTTTTTTCTTTGGCATTTCCTTTGAGTTAAGCTTGTTATTATTCGTGGCAATTGTTAATATCATTATATATCGTATTCTGTATGTTATAATGTTTTATTGCTGCACTTTTACTGCCTAAGTACTCTTATTGTTGTATTTTAACCTGTGAAGCACCTTGGTCAACCTTGGTTGCTTTAAGTGTGCTATATAAATAAAATTGATAGTGATAGTGATTGATACCGTGACCTTTAACCCTTGGTCCTTTTTCCTCTCGGTGTGCTTGTAACACAGCCAGACTGCTGTTGTAGACAACAATTCACACAAAGGTTGTTGATATATTATGACTACAATCCAATCCGATGTTCATTTTTCTGCCTGTAAAAAGTTATCTTTCTCATTACAATCCAATCACAGCATTTTTACATCACTCTGCCCCTTTGCGTCTTTCTCTAACCAAATATACCTTTCTGTCTTTCAGCCTGGCAGCATCGAAAGAAGCTGCGGCGAGGAAAGCTGCCACCCCGATGCCACCCTCCGAGTTCCTGGACAAACTCATGGGCAAAGTATCGGGTTACGATGCCAGAATTCGACCAAATTTTAAAGGTAGGAGTTGCCACCAAGACTCAGTCGGATAAGACAGGAATGTAGCCAAACAATATTCTGAAAAGACCTGGATATGTGTTGTTTCTGCATTTCATTACCCTTTTCTAAATGCCTTTTTAAGGGTTTAGCCAAGGTTGTCACCAAGAAAGGTTTGTATTCATTAGTTGTATTAAAGAAGAAAATTTTATATATAAATATATTACTAAAATTATGTTGCTTCATGTTTAATCATCTCACTGTTTTTAGTTGTTCTCAATCTGTCAATCTCTTTTCATTTGCCCTTTGCAGTGTTCAACAAAGGTAATTCTGCCCATTGTTCAACGTGCTATAGACATAATAAGGCTATTTCAGGTGTTAGTCCCCAAAACCCGATTTTCTCTCTCTCTTTTTTTAACAAAACCCTGTCCCTGCACTTTTAGCCCCAATCAGACTGTAAAACAACATTCCCATTATTTTAGTATTTCAAGTCCATGGTGCTATAGTTGGCTACATTCCTTGGTATCCACATAGTATCCTGAGTGCTTGTTTTGGTGGTCAAGGTAATGTGCCTCTCTCCCACAAGTGTCCTCCTCAATATGATTTCATGATGATGATGGTGATGATATTGGTGATGATGATAATCTAATATTAAGTAACCTCTCCCTGAATTGAAGCCCCCATAAAGACACATGTCAGAGGTTTCTATATTTTACTTTCTCACATTAGGAACACAGTCTGGACATTAATATGTTTGAATGACATTAGAAAACTGGAGCAACCCTCCACATTCATTAAAGTGTATGAATAATACAAAAAGTGATGTTTTTTAATCATAGGCAAAAATATATTAAAGTAATTGAAACAGACCCAAATTTCAGTTCACAATCACAGAAACAAAACAATGTTTTCCAACATAAACTGATATAAGTGACTGTTTGAACCCAAAATGTTACATTTGAACCTTGTTGCATGTTAAGCACTGACCTATCTTAGTTTCCAGAATGGATGTGAGTAATTTCTATTTCCGTATATAGGTCATTTGTGTATTCTGAGTGTACAAAATATTAGTACCCTCGTGATATTCCACTTTCCTGTGTGTACATCTCAACTTTAATCACGAGCATATGCTCCGTTCTTCAAGAATCAAAATCCCTTTTACCTTTTTTCTATTAGTAATTATATCTTATACCTGCATTTCTTTAAAAAAAATAATATCTTATAGGCGGGTATTCTGTCAAGGCACTGTGACCCTTGACATCGTCCTTGAGACCTTGCAATCTGGAGAGTAAATCTTATTCTACTTTTGTAGTAACTTTAAATCACTCACATTGGTTCAATCGGTAGGAAGTGGTACACATATTTTTCTGTCAAATTTTTCAAATTTAATTAAAATCAGAGCACTGGTATCAGTAGGATAACATTTAAGTATACATTTCCATCTTCAGTTGTACCATTGTAGTTTTTAGGTGGAATTGTATATGAGACAGATGTTGGTTGGACATAATAACAACATAGCACCAAAATCTGTGCAGGTTTTCTCAAAAGCAAGAGTTTCAAATTTTAGAATTTTATGTAATTGGTTTGGCTAATTTAATTTAGTGTTGAAGATCCTCAATGAACTCTTTCTTGTGTTTACTAATTCAATTGATTTTGATAAAATGAAATGAAACCTTTGGAAGTGATAAAACCTGGAGAGATGATGAGCTATATCTTGTTAAGTCGATGTCAGCATACTTTCTGCATTTCCTCTTCATCTTTACAGCAGATTTAACAGGTGAAATTAATAGCTGGCCTAATATTTTGTACACTGAACAACACACAGGAAACAGACTGCCAGAATGTGCAGCAGTGAACTACAGTTTATGTTTATGAATGCTGTCATGGAGCTTCTTTTTTTTTTTTTGCTGAGCCCATAATGGCATAACCCATTACATGGTGATCTTTGTAAGTGGGATATTTCAGCTCAGATAGATGCGAGATGGAAGGGGGAGGGGTGGAGGGGTTTTACCGTGACTAAGTGTGCATTATTAAACCTGCCATTGCTGCAAAACAGCTAAAACTGCTCATCCTTCCTGACCTGCCATGAATTTGTTCGGGTGTTTTGTGAGGCAATCTTGGAGACTATTTCTATTTTTTTATTTTTTAAATCTGATTTCTCCTCAGCTCCGATTGGCAACAATCCATTGTGATTTACTGCGACTATTGCTGCATTGACCGTTACTAATCAGGAATTAAACAGGCCGATGTAAAAGTTATTTGAATGATGACTTTCATGGGTTTTTTTTCATTCTTTTAATTTGATGTAACAAAAAAGTTTAAATGCAGATGAGAGGATTCTCTGGCAGTGTGTTAGACATGCAGATAATAATAACAATCCTCCAGATGATGTCAGTGACCTTTCAAAATTTCAACCCCAACTCAGAAAAATGTACCTAAAATAATTCAAATTAAAGTTCTTAATAAGTGTGATTTTGTATTTTTTTTGCTTTTCTTCTTTGGCTTAATGTGAACCGAAGCAATCTGTGATGAATATGTACATACTCAGGAGAATGAGCACATCTTTTATGTAATCTGCTAAGCTAATTGTGTCAGGGGCCATTGTTAGCAGACAGAACCCGATGTGAATTTCCAGACTCTGTCATGGCTGTCAGGTCGACAGAGTGGCATGGCATGAGCTCTCCAACTTGCTCATTCATGCAGATTTTGTTTGTGTGTGTGTGTGTGTGTGTGTGTGTGTGTGTGCGTGCGTGTCCCCTACCAGCTAACTACACTACTGCATTAATCACATTCATGAAATAAACAGCTTGACAGCTCTGCTCCTCAGTAAACTCAAGGGGCGGGGTTGGGAGAATATGTAAGTACACAAAAAAGTGTACTTTTACAGGATGATAGGGAGTCAGTGGTGGTCTCAAAAATGTTTCTTTGTCAACCAATATAATGATAATAATTAGGGCTAGCCCATATGGCATCATGTCATTCGATATCGATAATTATCACGATAAAAGTCAAGTCTTTCTTTCTTTCAAGTTTAAATGCTGATTTTTGCTCCTGATTGAAAGTTGAAGAAGCCAGATGGTTAATTGTGTGATTAAACTTTATTGTTACAACGTGACAAACACTTGATGCCACTTGATGGATCACCTCACAAATACTAGGTAGAACATTCAAAACAATTATCATAAAATCTTTTTAAAATATGATTAGTAAATCTTTTTTCAGTCCCTTTTCCTCAACAAAATAAATATCTTAATAGAAAAATTAGTTGCTAATTAGTTTGTGATTCAAATTAATTAAATCAAACATTTATTGACAATTGTTGAACATGTTGAACATTTGTTATATTGTTATTGAGGAAAATTACATTCCGATAATTATCAGCCTAATAATAATACAATTAAATGTAATAATTTGATATGCTGTATAAGTAGGATCACACAGTGAATAAACTCTTAGTAAAATTAATTTTATGATGATAATAAATGTTGGGAAGTGAAAATGGAATACCCCGCATGTTAAGAGAACACTGAGGTGTCTGAAAATGTATCTGAACAGTGGGATTCTGGACCTCTTTATGGAATGTAACGATAGGAGAGGTTCACAAAGACAGTTTGATGTTACAGGGTTTGCTCGGAATCATCATTCGATCTACCTAGCTAGTAAGCAAGCTTTACATCCAACCCGTTCTCACTCTCCAACTTGTCACATATGGACACATGGTCAAGACCCATGGGCGTCACTTTGTAACACACATAGGGAAACCTATAGCGTCATAGTTCAACCCAGTGGGGGAAGCCCTGTAGCGTCAGTTCTTGACGGTAAAGTTAAGTTAGTTAAGAGTTAAGAGGTGGTTAGGGTGGATGGAGAGTCAGAACCCGGACTTTGGAGAACGGGGTTTGTGTCCCATGTGAAACAAAAAGTCAACATTAAATATTTTTAGTTAAGTTAGGTAAGTTACGCCAATTGCGTAAGTTATGCAAGTGACGTTAGTTAACTGACGTACGTAGTTATTTTAACCTAAACCATGATCTTTTCCTAACCTTAACCAGGTAGTTTTAGTGCCTAAACCTAACCAAATTGCAACGTTTCACAACTTTAATAACGTGCCGTGTCAAAATGGCAATGTTTGCAAACGCTAGCATTTTATTTTAAGTGTAACCAGACATTGCACATTTGTTTTTGCTAAGCGTTGCTAACTTCACCATGTAGCCCTAAACATCTAAAAATGACGCAAAAAAGGTACCCAGGGCATTTAAAAGCAATGCCATAGGGCCTTGACCATGCATCAGTATGTAACGAGTAGGGAGTGAGAATGTAACATCCTCCAAGCCAATTCACATAACAACTACGATAGCTTGTATTCAAATTAGCCACTGATCTCTGACCTTTCGCTAAGACATACACTTAGAAAAATAGTCATTTTTCATAGTATTGGTATGAAATTTAAACTAGGACTAGGTAATTCTTTTTTTCCAGCAAATAAGTCCCAGCTATAGTTGTCTGCATGCATTTATTAGCAAGCATTTTCAAGCAGAAATGAAAAATATATTAGTTTTAGTGTGTTTAAACTTATTTTAATCAATTCCAGTAGCACTTACAGTCATTCTAACTTTTGGGTTAGACGATCCAGAGTGTTATCTTTCAGAGAAGCCCAAAAGCATGCATATACTCCAAATGGTTCAAGAACTACATTCAATTTACTTTGGATATGCCTTGAATAGGCGTTTTGCATGAATTTTACAGGAATGTTAAGAGTGTCAAGTAATGCCTAATTATTCACAATTATTACGCCCAACACTGGTCACGAATAAATGCTTGTTAACTATGACCTGCTTTCTAGCAACTTTCTAGCAAAGTTGTAGTGTAGCCTAGTCTGTCAAACGTAATAGATGTCATGAACTGCACGTACACACTGAAAAGACAAGAGTCTCACTTTGTAAAGCTGATAACTGTTTACCAGTTAGCTCTCCATTTTAAAAACTAGGCATTAAGCTAGCTTGCTTGCTAGTGAGTGAGTTCACTAA